AAAGAAAAAAGCCAGAAGTGGTGCTGTGGCTCAAGTGGTAGAGCACTAGCCTTGAGCTGAAGAGCTGAGGGACAGTGCCCAGGCCCAGAGTTCAGGCCCTACAACTGACAAAAGAGTGAAGTTGGGCACCGTTGGTCACACTTGTAGTCCTAACTACTCAGGAGGCCAAGAGCTGAGGATCTTAGTTCAAGGCCAGCCCAGGCAGAAACTATAAAACTGCTCGGGATCTCTAACCACCAAAAAGCCAGAAGCAGAGCTGTGGCTCAAGTGGTAGAGCTCAGGGACAGCATCCAGGCCCCAAGTTCAGGTAGGTCTAGCACCTTCCCTACCTCCTTCTCTGCTCCTCTCCCCTCCCCCCCCAAAAAAGAAAAAAAAGCCTGGGATGGTAGGTACTGAGGAGAGGAGTGTGCTGGAGAAGCTGCCAGAAGCGCTGAAGGTTAGGCCTCTGGTGTTTTTGTTTGATGCGTGCCAGAAAGTTCTCCTCTGGTCTCTCTTTTCACCCCGCCCACAGAGCGTGTCGCTGCGCTCCTCCAGCCCAGGCCAGTGAGCGGCCGCTCAGCCGGCCACGGCCGCTTGGAGGTCCTCGGTTTCCTTGGAATCCCCTGGCTTCTGGGAGCCAGGGGCTGTGGCTAGCTGGCACTGCTCTTGGCATGGCCGGCCTCCCTCACCAGCCGCAGGTGCATTGGCAGCGCGCTCGGGAGGCTGCGCCAGGAGCGCCGGCTCCCTCCTGATCGCCATTGTCTGCCTGGCCAGCCCTTCTCCCCTGATCGCCATGGTGCTGCCTGGCCAGCCCTTCTCCCCCGCTGAGCTGCATGTTCGCTGCCTGGGGAGCGGGCCGCGAGTGGGCTTCTTGGTGCTGTTTTTCAGGTCTCATCGAATGTTACCTCGCCTCTAACAGTATCCGAGAGGCCATGGTGATGGCTAACAATGTGTACAAAACTCTGGGTGCAAATGCACAGACGCTAACGCTGCTCGCCAGCGTGTGTCTGGAGGACCCAGTGACGCAGGAGAAAGCCAAGACGCTGCTAGATAAAGCGCTGAGCCAGAGGCCCGACTACATCAAGGCCGTGGTGAAGAAGGCGGAGCTGCTGAGTGAGTGTCTCCATCCGCCCTAGGTCCCCCGAGTCCCCTGCGGGCTCTGCGCTCCCCTCCGCGGCCTGCAGATGTGGCACGCCGTCCTAAAACGAGCCGAAATGGTCTGCTCAGCTCACTTTCAATCCGTTTCTTTGTTGTCCTGAGCTAGTGTGGGCTGAACATAACTAACTGGCTTCAGTTTAAACTGTTTTGAGTTATGTCCCTTGTAGCTAGCCTTCCATTGGGTGTTGGCTTTTTTGGTTTTTATTTTTTTTGTCCGTCATAGGGCCTGAACTCTGGGCCTGGGCGCTGTCCCTCAGCTCTTCAGCTCGAGGCTAGCGCTCTACCACTTGAGCCACAGCGCCACTTCGGGTTTTCTGGTGGTTCATTAGCTTTGAACTGTGATCCTCAGATTGTAGGCGTGAGCCACCAGCACCCAGCTTTGCATTGTTCTTTTCATCCATCTTACGCATGTGTTTATAGGTGTCGCAGGCAATATGCACTGCTTTTGGGGCTTGATTTCAGGGCCTGGGTGCTGTCCCTTGCTTAGGTTTTCTGTTCAAGGCTGGCACTGTACTTACTACTTGAGCAGCAGCTCTGTTTAGGGCTTTTTGGTGGTTCATTGGAGATAGGACTTTTAATAGACTTTCCAACCCTGGGCTGGCTTCCAATTTCAATCCTCAGATTTTAGCTTCCTGCGAAGCTTGGATTATATATATCTGTTAAGTTAGAAGGAAAATAAGCTTATATTTGGTGCCACTGGCTCAGGACTATGATACTAGCTAATCAGAAGCTTTGATCTGAGGATTGTTGTTCAAAGCCAGCCCAGTCTTGAAAGTCCAGAGATTCTTATCTCCAACGAACCACTGAAGATAGAGCTAGGTTCATGTGGTAAAGCACCAGTCTTGAGTGAAAAGGCACTGAATTCAAGCCCCAGCACCAAGAAAACAACTACAGAAAAGTTTAGTTTGGCTCTGGCCAGCGCCTTCCTTTGGCGATGGTGCAGTCGGTGTGCCGTCCTGGTTGTGCGGGTGTGGGGACCGCACATGCTCCGGGTGTGGCGGCCCCGTGCATCAGGCCTGCGCGGCCTGGGTTTTCAGTTGGATTCTGGTGGGGAGGGGAGGGGAGGCTGGGCGCAGCTGGACGGAGCCCGGTTTCTCCCCAGGCCGGGAGCAGAAGTACGAGGACGGCATCGGCCTGCTGAGGAGCGCGCTGGCCAACCAGAGCGACTGCGTGCTGCACCGCCTGCTCGGCGACTTCCTGGTGGCCGTCAACGAGTACCAGGAGGCCATGGACCAGTACAGCATCGCGCTCAGGTGGGCCTCTGGAAAAGGACCAAGGCCTGGCGGCTGGGGCCGAGGCTCAAGCGGGAGAGCGGCACTGCCGCGTGCGCGGGGCTCCGCGTGCCTTGCCTC